CACAGAGAAACCCTCTCTCAAAAAACAAAAGAAAGAAAGAAAGAAAGAAAGAAAGAAAGAAAGAAAGAAAGAAAGAAAGGAAGGAAGGAAGGAAGGAAGGAAGGAAGGAAGAAAGAAAGTAAGTAAGAAAGGAAAATATTACCTGGAGCTAGGGATGTAGCTCAGTGGCAGAGTATTTGCCAAAGGTTCTGGATTGGATTCAATCTTTGGCATATAACAAATAAAAATAAAAAGGTTCCTTTCTCAATCCCCTCATCAAAAGAGGTGGCACATCTAACATAAAACAAAATAAACTTTAAAGAAAAAATCACTTTATAATGGATTTCTATAAAAATATAAATTACCAAAAGTCTCAAAATGACAGAAAATCTGAGACCTCCAGCAATAAAGAAAATTGAGTCAAAACCCTATCTGCCATTTAAGAAACTACTAGACCAGTCCAAGCTTTCAAGAAATAGATAGCCCTTCATTGTTATGTCTCAAACTGTGCCACAAGAAAGACAGCAGCTCCCTGCACAGCTCACGCCAGAAGCCTAACAGGACATTGACACCAAACGGAGCAGAAGGATAAGCCAAGTGTAAGCCAGTGCTGCATCGAGCACATTTGAAACCTAGATGTGTCTGCTTGTGACTACAGAAAGTTCGCTCACTCACTGCTTATCCACTGCTGTTTGAGTTATCAACTCAATAAAAATGCACCCCCCAAAAAAAACTTTCTAAATATGCATTAGCATTGAGCCCAGAAATGCATAAAGTGTAATATTTCATCAAATCTAAAACACCACTGCCTGTGAGATGTACCATCTCTTTATATACTAAGAGAAAAATATATTGTCACTTCAACCATGACAATGTTTTCTTGACACTCATACATTTTATTTATACTTACCAGAGGAACTTTTTAGATTTGTTTATACAGATTCTTTGCCATAGATCATGGTCAATGAATTCATAATAAATAAAATATAGGCAAGATAAACAAGGTACTCTTCAAACTTCATATTCAGAGTCCAACTCTTCTAAGTCATTGTTCAACACAGTTGGTATCATTCCTGGAATCAAGAGGTGGTAACTCAAGATTTCTTGGGAGTCCTACTGTATCTCTGGTGTGTTCCCCATTAAACCCATGCATTCTTTAAGGTTTTTTGTTTGTTTGTTTGTTTTTTGTTTGGTTTGGTTTTTCAAGACAAGGTTTCTCTGTGTAACAGCCCTGGCTGTCCTGGATCTTGCTCTGTAGACCAGGTTGGCCTCAGACTCACAGAGATCTGCCTGCCTCTGCCTCCCAAGTGCTGGGATTAAAGGCATGCTCCAATTCTCTAAATTTTGATGCTGAAGATTTCTTTGACTTGCCAGAAAGTGAGAACAGTAAGGTTTTGGTCAACCAACATTTATTTTCCTTCCTCCAGTGGTCTGTCAGGGATTACAAGTGACCAAGTTTGAGAGGAATTAGTAGATGCCATTGTCAGCAGTGTATATCCTAACTACAGAAATGTTGAAGTATGAAAAATATGCATGTCACAACTGATAAATATGGTATATCCTAACATATACGGTTTATCTCAGGAATGAAAAATTAGTTTACTAATGCATTAAAATATGTCAGATGTAGTGACATATATATGTCCTTAATCTCAGTATTTGGGAGGCAGAGGCAGGCAGATCTCTCTGAGTTCAAGGCCAGCCTGGTCTACATAGCCAGTTTCAAACCAGCCATGGATATATAGTAAGACCTGTCTCCAAAAACTCTATTAAAATAGGTGATCACATTACCACATTAAAGCAAAACATCTCACTGTATGGAGAAAATCACTTAAACTCAAAAAACAACAACAAAAAGTTCAACTCGTAGCAAAACAGAAAGGAACAGATTTCGCCTTATGTAGCTACCTGCCAATATCTCACAGCAAAAATAGACAGGGAAGGAAGGTGCCTTAGTTAGGATTACTACTGCTGTGATGAGATGTCGTGACCAAAAGCAAGTTTGGGAGGAAAAGGCTTATTAGGCTTACACTTCCACATTATAGTTATCATCGAAGGAAGTCAGGAAAGGAACTCATACAGAGAAGGAATCTGGAGGCAGGAGCTGATGCAAAGGCCATGGAGAGAAGCTGCTTACTTGGCTTGCTTCTCATAGTTTGCTCTGTGGGCTTTCTTATAGAACATGGGACCACCAGCCCAGGGGTGGCACCACCTATAACAGGTTGGGCTCTCCCCATCAATCACCCATTAAGAAAATTCCCTACAGGCTGGCCTGAAGCCTGCTCTCATGGAGGTGTTTTCTCAATTGAGGTTCCTCCTCCCTGATGACTTAGCCTGTGTCAAGTTGACATAAACTAGCCAGCACAGGAGAGAAGGAACCAGAAGCAGTCTCTGAAGGCAAGAACAAGATAGAGATGATAGCTGTCATTACTTCTACACAATAATATACAAAAAGGGTTAACCAGATCAGCAAGACACAGAAACAGTTGATACTAATATAAGGATTGGAATGGTGGGGGGACTAAACTGCTGTTATTCATAGTAACTCGATCTCAACCCAGATATGTTAAGATAATCTACATATCTATAACCACATGATGGCACTAATGGGAGAACCCAGTAAAGTTGTCAAATACAGAATCCACTATTAAAAAACAAATCCCAACCTCTCTAGCCCTTCACACCCCCTCAAAAAAATCCTAGAGGACTTACAGGGCAGCAACAAACAATTTAAAAATGTAACCTTCATAAATGGTCTTATTCATAAAATCTTCTAAGACACAATACACAGGAACAAATCTAGCCAAAATGTAATGCATTTTATAAGAAACATTTAAAAGTTAAAAGCAAAACGTTGACTAATTAATAAAAACTTGGAACATGAGGAAGATATAAATAAAATTATAAGCAATTTACAACTGTCCATTCTACCTGAAATAATCTATAGCATCGCTGTAGTCCTAATAAGTGTAAGTCCCTCGGTGAGCACATGGTAAAACTAAGTAAGAAAAAGACCAGGTCCAGGAAGAGCCCAAACAATTGTAAAGAAAACAAAGAAAAAGTGGAAGTAGGAGGCTGTGGTCACACTACTAGGTTTTGAGACTTTCTGGGAAGTTTTAAGAATTAAAACAATGTGGTGATGATATGACAACAACATAACAGAAAAACTGAACATGAGATTTAAATCAAAACCAACTCAAAATATGAAAACTTAGCTTCCCCTGTAGTCTAATGCTTAGGACTAGTGTTCTCTCCAATCATGAAAATCTGATTAAGGTCAATGACTTATCTCAGTGGGTGCGGACGCCTGCTGCCAGGCCTGATGCCTGAGTTTGACCCTCAGAACCCACACAGTGGTAGGAGAGAAGTGACCCCCACAAGTTGTCCTCTGACCTCCACATGCATGATATAGCATGCACTCACACTCTCCCTCCCTCCCTCTCTCTCAATAAATACAGAATTTTAAGAAGAAAATGTCACCGGCCCAATGGAATACAATAAACGTTGGTATACAACAGGGTGTTGTCACACGTAAGTGGGCAGGAGAGCACTTGGTGGCATCATATCAAGTATTTAGAGCCACATCATGTCATGTACAAAAGCAAATGGGAAAAAACAAACTAATCATAAAATACAGACAACTTCTTTATTATTTAAGTAGAGAGAAATTTCTTGAGGCAGAATATCAAATTATACACACACACACACACACACACACACACACACACACACACACACATCTTCCCATATCACACCATTTATGATGATTTAAAAAACCAAATGGCAGGCCGGGCGGTGGTGGCGCACGCCTTTAATCCCAGCACTCGGGAGGCAGAGCCAGGCGGATCTCTGTGAGGTCGAGGCCAGCCTGGGCTACAGAGTGAGTTCTAGGACAGGCACAAAGCTACACAGAGAAACCCTGTCTTGAAAAACCAAAAAAAAAAAAAAAAAAAAAAAACCAAATGGCCAAGAGTTTATGAAAAAACATGTTCAGTCGAACTAGTGACCAAGGCAATTTCCAGATGTGAGATGTAACCATTACCCTTCACACTGGAAAACATTAAGGTTAGGACTCCGAGGTTGTAGCAACAGGAAATGTATGTATTATATTTTGCAGAGAGATTAAGAAACTTGTGAAGTTACTTGGTAAATATAAGACTGAACTGACACTTCACTTCCCAGAAGACATGTACAAAGGACTTCACCATGTGGTGACTAAAGTCATGTGGAATTAGAAATAACAAAAAAGATGAACATGAAATGCACTAGGGCACTCCGAAATTGCTAAAATAAATGGATAAATCTCAAAACCATTTAGTGGGAAATAAAAGCAGTAAAATATATATCTACAGAATACCTTATTTATAGATTAAAGCCTGAGGGAGAATGTGTTCTATCCTCACAGGTATGTGCACATATAGTAGAAGCTTTAAAGCACAGTGTATGGAAGACAAAGACCACATCTAGGGAGGCTGGGTGGGAGGGCCCATGACAGGGAGAAGACAGCTGGTGCATCAGCATCCCCTTAAGCATAGCGCGTTCATGTATGTGCACAAGGGCACGTGTGTTTGCACATACACGTGGAAGCCATAGGACAACCTCAACTGTCACCTTTAGGAATACTGCCCACCTCCCTTTGAGACAGGCTCTCTCATTGGCCTGGAAGCAGCAAGCCCCAGGGATCCTCCTCCTCCATCTCTGTCTCACTGGTGCTGGGATAACAAGCGCAGGCCACACCAGGCATTTCCCGTGGGGACTGAACTCAGACCTTCACACTTGTGAGGAAAGTGCTTTCCTGAGTGTGCTGTCTTCACAGCCCCTTAACATCTACTTCTTCTTCTTGTTGAAGAAAATTCAAAAGCCGGATGGTGGTGGCGCACGCCTTTAATCCCAGCACTCGGGAGGCAGAGGCAGGCGGATCTCTGTGAGTTCAAGGCCAGCCTGGTCTACAAAGCGAGTTCCAGGAAAGGCTCCAAAGCTACACAGAGAAACCTTGTCTTGAAAAAAAAAAAAAAAGAAAATTCAAAGCATGTTGGCTTGTGCCTGTAAACCCAACACTCGGGAGGATAAGCAGAAGGTGTGCTGAGAGTTCAAGTCCAACCTGGGCTACAGCCTGAGACTCTTTCCTGAAAATCTGCACAAAAAAGTCTTGATGCACATAGTATGTTGACAATGGAAACTTAAAATACAAACAGTAAACTAAACAGAAGTGTGTCTTGCAATGAACTGTCATGCAAGGATGTTTAGAAGCATTGGCTACTGACTTAAAGAGATGTCAACAAACATACTAAGTGAAATAAAACAGGGTATAAAATTGTAGATTTTTCAACCAACGCATGAAATGATCAAAGGAATCTTCTCCTAGTGCTATAAACAAGTTCCAAGAACACACCTGAGACATTTTAATATCTTATCAACTTGGATCCAGGCAAAGAACATGGACAAAGAGCCTGGAGAGAGATTAACTGGAGAGCTTTAAACAAATGGATATCAGGACTGTCTATCTACAGACTAGCTACACTAGAACCAAAGGCAGTGTTCTCATAGAGCTGATGCTAATAAGCCCTGCCTTTCCAGAGGGACTGCCTTGCTGTCCAGTCAGGGCTATCAGAGCCAGGGCAGAGTACAGGTTGCTGAAAAGAGCAGGGTTATAACACCAGCACTCAGACACTGAGGCAGGAGGATTCTAAATTCCAGCCCAAGCTACATAGCCATACCCTGCCCACACCTTTAAAGGCTAAGCAAACTATAACAAACTATATGCTAAATAGGTTGGGCTAGGGACTGTGCATGAGAAAATTATATTATATGTGATGCCACATTCCTAAGAAAGTGGCAGCAGGAAATTACTGAAGGGCTTTAGAAAGAAAAGAGAACATTTATCTTACTACATTTAAGATCTCTGATAAACTGGAAATTGACTTGGATACTCTAAAACCTGTGCCCAGAAGGTATAGGCATCATGACACATTTTATTTTATGAGAACGGAAATAACATATATTATAGGGTGGGGAGTTAAAACTCAGAAAATATTACTATTATTATTCTTTTACTGGGAAAATTTGTGTGTTCTTTATACTTTGATTAAGTGTTTCTGAAACAGCTGAGACCAAAAGATACACACCACATTTATTTTGTAACAGTTAAGGCCATAAGCCGGTGTTGGATATGACATGCATGCTATCTTGTCTTCCAGATGAATTGATCTTGAATTCAATCACTCTCTGAGAGAAGACATGCCCGCTCGCATAATTTCATCAACCAGGAGAATGTTGGTGGCAATCACTGTGCTAAGGATGAAAAGATGAGAGTGAGTCAAGCCTCCTAGCACATGCCTGCGTCTCCCCAGCAATCTTCCGGCAGCGCAGGGCACTTTTTCCTTCGGCTATGCTGGTGTGAGAGTTTATGAAACAAAGATATCACGAACGAAGCAGCCCTCCTCACACTGTAATTTTGACTGCTTTGTTGACTCGGTAGAAGTCTAATTTATACCCCAGCAAAGCTGCGCTAACTGTCACATGTCGCTGCTCCCCCCTGCCACACAGACAGTGCTGTTGCAGTACTTCCTGCCTCCCCCTCCCACTCCAACAGTGAGGGTGAGGTTAGCTTTCCCAGGGACTTACACTGCTGCAGATACAGTGCTTAAGGGACTGTAGGAGGACAAAAGCTAGCCTCAGCAGCTGGCAACTACAATGCCATACACTTCACAATGTCTTCAGAACAAAAATAACAGGAAATGTTCAAAGCTATCAGTTATATCCCTAAAGGTCTTTCTCTTCTTTGCCAATTTACCATGAGTGAAGAAGATGTTTTTTCACACAATAATTATCCCAAACTCCTGCTTCTGCTGCTACCATCGGCTCCCCTGCAAAGTAAAAACAAACCTCTTAATACAGCAATCTTGATATACCCTGTCAATGTTGACTGGTGGAGTCTAACAATATTTAATCTCTTACAGAACTACTTTCGTCAAGGTCACCAATGACCTCTGTGCTAAGTGCTGTGGGCTCTCGCCAGCCTTATCTACTGCTTGACAGCTCATCATATCCCTTTGACAATTCCTTCTTGGCTTTCAGACACCATGCTCCCCTTTCTTTTCACTGTACAACCCCCATCCAGCCCAAGACTCTTCTATTCTCTCACTATACATATGTCTTAGTCAGGATTACTATTGCTGTGATGAAACACTATGACCAAAGAAACTTGAGGACGAAAGGGTTTATTCGGCGTATGCTTCCACACTGTTCATCATCAAAAGAAGTCAGGACAGGAACTCAAATAGGGCAGGACCCTGGAGGAAGGAGCTGATGCAGAGGCCACAGAGGATGCTGCTTACTGGCTTGCTCAGCCTGCTTTCTTATGGAAGCCAGGACCACCAGCCCAGGGATGGCACACCCACAATGGGCTGGCTCTCCCCCATCAATCATTAAGAAAATACCCTATAGGGTTGTCAACAACCTGATCTTATGGAGAGGTTTTCTTAATTGAGGCTCCCTCCTCTCAGATGACTCTAGCTTGTGTCAGGTTGACATAAAACTACCTAGCATAACGTATTTCCCAGGCAGTCTCATCCAATTTTCTGGGTTTAAGCTATCTACATCCTGATAACTCTCTTACCTCTTTTTCTTGAGCTCAATATATCAAACAACTTCTCCCAAAAGACCGTAAGTACTTCAAACTAGACTTTGCCAAAACTGAACAGTCCCTCAGTCCACAACCAGCTTTATCTAGTTTTCTCCCATTGTTAGTGCAATTCTAACCTACTAGTTGTTTAGCTAACTGCCCTCCATAGGGTGGAGTGTGGTCGGAGTGATCCTTTCAAATAGACCATGTCACATCTCTGCTCAAAATCGCTCCCATTTCACTGCAAGGATTAAAACACAAAAGCCAAAGTTCTCGGACTAGCCCACATGCCACTGTATAATCTGACCTATCCCCTCTCCTACCTCCTTCCTTCCTTCCCTGCTGGCTGTGCCCTCTCCTGAGAAAGCACTTAATGCTGCCCCTCCATGGCTAACTCTTCAGTTCCTTCAGCTTCATCAGTAGACATTTTCCTAGTGTATACTGTACAAATGTTGTAATTTTCATCCCTTTCCTACCTTCTTTAATTAGCATTCATGATCATCCTTACTTTGCTCTTTTATTTTTTCAAGTTTATTGTTCTCTTAGATGCTAAATAATTTATTTGTTAGAGTTATTGTTTACTGCCTGTTTTCACTCACTACAAGAGAAGCTCTATTTTGCCCAGTGTGAATCCAAATAATAAGCATTCAATAAGTATATCTTTTTAACATTGGCGAGGGCAGAGAGGACCGGAGATGTAGATAGTTCAGTCGTTGACTGCTGTACAAACACAAGGACCGAGTCTGAGTTTGGTCCCTAGAACCCACATTTAAAAGTTCTTTTGTTTCAGTTAAGAGCACTTGTTACTCTTGCAGAGTACCCAGGTTCAGGGCCAGTTCCAGAGGATCTGATGCTCTCTTCTGAGCTCCACAGGTACTGCATGCACGTTGTGCACAGACATACACAAAAGCAAAAACACCTAAACACATTAAATATTTTTTGGAGTAAGCTAGATGCAATCAAGATTGATATAACAAAATGTCCCAACCTACCACTCTCTGTTATAAGATTTGGGTTCTTGAAGAACAATCTCTTGAGTAAAGCTAAGTTTCCTTCAATCTCTTACCTGTATTCAGGTCTATGCCCACAAGCTCTTTTGATTCTGCATGTTCAGTCTGAACTTTTATCAATGTTTCCTGCAGGTCATAACCAGAATTCTGAGCAAGAACCTTCAGGAAAAAACAACAAGTATGTGTGGAGTGCCTTCGCATATGTATTTGAAAATCAAGTACAAAAGTAAGGTACTACTTTTCAGTCTTGTGAAAACACAATCACAATACAGTGCTCATCTCCTTTAGAAGAATCCCATGCCCAACCTAAACCAAATGATTGCTTTATCTCCCTAGCACATTCTGTACTTGAACAGCTCCCCTTGTACAGAACTCTAAGTTCCAAGGACCAGACTTCCCAAATCCCACATATTTTTCAGGCAAGGCATCATGTGGTCCAGGTTGGCCTCCAACCTCTTCTCCCCTCATGGAGCAGGAACCGCCTTGAGCTCCCTGTCCTCCTGCTTCACCTCCCAAGTGCTGGCACTAGGCACATGCCACCACACCCAGCTGCTTTCTTTTCTTAGAAAAGATTTAAGATCCTTTTTGTTTCCCCTGGCCTTTGAGCCGCATGCCCTCCTGTTCTTCCCAGCACTTGCTAAGGAGCAGCAGAGCATCCGCAGCACTGTGTGGCCCTTGGCTTCAGAAGGAGAGCCATGAACTACAGCAGCTTGGATGGAGATGCCTTACTCTATACCAGCCTAATTTTCCTACTGACAGCTGATAGAGAAGAGGGCCACTGTGTGCCAGGGCCACCAATTCATGTCAACAACATCATTACTTAATGACTTTGCTGCTTGGAGGAAAGAAAAAAAAATTGACATCTGATTCACAAACAACGCACAAATTGTGAATAATTCTGATATAAATTATTTAAGTCTTTGCTAGGATGGTTAATAATGGTTTAATTCATGGGAACAGCATGCTGGAAACATCTTTCTATATTTCTATGTGGCTGACAACTAACGGAAGGCAGAGAGCAAGGAAGGACAGTTCTCTGTCCTCTTGCTGCCTCTCTCCTCGTCTCGAAATTACCACAGATTCAAGCTGGTCGGATTTGGGAACGCTAAACATTTTGAAGTTCTTCTCTTCTCACAACTTAAAGTAATAACATGTTGAATGCCACCAACAAAACAAGAATCTATGTTACAAATAAAAATCTAACAAAACTTAAGTTCAAAACTGTTCGCTAGGATTGGTTAGTAATGAACTTTCTACAGTGCTTTTGGACCCAAGGAAAACCTGACTGCTTCCTGGAGCTCCCAAAGTACCATAAGCTTCAGTCCCCATAGTCGCTCTGCTGGGTTTGTAAAATATTTAACACAACAGGAAATGCAAATAAGCACATTTCTAACTCTGCGAACTGCTGGGCAAGATGGGCAATTTGTAATCAAGGATCTTTCAGTAAAGACAGTTGTTATCTGGCCAGGAGACAGTTGTACCTTCGGGATAATAAGTAAGGAATCTGCAAAGGCTTGGATGCCAAGGCGAGTTCTTCCCTGCACACGGTGCTTGTGGTTAACAAGAGCTTCTGCTATTGCGACTTCAACTGCTCCAGCCCCTGGAACCACACAGCCTGCCAGAGGGAAATAATAGAAAGTTGTCAAGCAAGGAAAGAGAGTGAGAAAAGCAACTAGCTATAAAAGCAAGTGTGTTTAATTAGTTGACTACCTCTGAAATGTTCTGAATATATTTAGAGATCGAATAAATTCCACAATTCAGAAATAACTAGGTTTCCCTATAAAGCATTCTGAAATCAAACAATTAAGCACGGTACAAACACTGGTCACATACAGTTTGTTTCATGTTTATTCTCTGGAAAATAAAAATGGAATTTCTAGGGTAGAGAGATGGTTCCCAGCACCCACATCAGGCAGCTTACAACCAGCTATAACTCAAGTCCAAGGAATCTACACTGTCTTGCATTAACCTGCATTAACATAGTGTACATAAATTCACACAGGCACACACACACAAATAAAAAAATAAATCTCTTTTTAGGTAGACATCTCTTTTATCTACATCTTACAGTTCTATGAGTACACTGAGAAGTTGTTATTTATAATTTATAGAAGCAAGTAGCTGGATACAGTGTCTCATCTAAAAAAATGTAAGAGGCCTTAGAATGATATATTTCAACCTTTGAAAGACAATAACTGCTAACCCAGACTACTTTATCTATGAAACTATCTCTCATAATTGAAGGAGTGGACCAGGAATTCATGGTCACTAAGCCAGCTCTACCAAAGATGTTCAAAGGGATCCTGAGGTCTGAAAAGAAAGACACTCTCTGAGACCACAGGAAACAGCAGGTGATGCCAGAAGAGAAGTGAAGCCAATGAATGACAGGACTCATCAGTCACCATGAGATCAACAACGTAACAGGAGCCAATGCACACCTTCAGTGGTAACGCTGCACATCAACGGTCTCAACTCCCCACATAGAAGACACACTAAAAGGCTGGATTTACAACTAACCAGGGCTCATAGGAGCTCACAGAGACCAAACTGACAACCAGGGAGCCTGCATGGGAATGACCTAGTCACTCTTCATATATATGACAGTTGTGTAGCTTGGTCTTCTTGTAGGACTCCCAACAGTGGAAGCAGGGGCTGTCTCTGACTCTTTTCTGGTTTTGGGGATCCTATTCCTCACACTAGGTTGCCTGACCCAGACTTAATACAAGGCGAGTTGCTTAGTGTTACTCCAACTTGATACGCTATGTTTTGTTATGTCCATGGGAGACTTGCCCTTTTCTGAATAGAAACAGAGGAGGAGTGCACGTGGGGGGGCCATGGGGGGAGGACTGGGAGTAGAGGAGGGAGGGGAAACTAAAGTCAGGATGTAAAATAAATACATAAATAAAATAAAAATATGAAAATAGAAAAAAGTTTTTTACAGAGACTGGATTTATAAGAGAATTCTCATAATTGACAAAATAAACTCCAAACCAAAATTAGTCAAAAGAGATAAAGAGAGTGACTTTATACTGACTAAAAGAACACTCTGATAAGACACTACTGCTGTTATAAACATATATACACTGGCCACAAGTGCACCTGACACTACTAGAGGTCAAGACCCAGACAAACCCGATACAAGAATACTGAGTAATGTCAGTGCCCTGCTCTCATCCATAGGCAAGTCATCCCAATGAATCATGAACAGAGAAACATCTGGATTCAGTGATTCCTTAGATCAAATGGACCTAGCAGACATCTACAGAACATTCCACACAAATACTGCTGAATACACGTTCTTCTCTGGAGCCCATAGAACTTTCCCTAAGGTAGATCATATTAAAGGACAAAAAGCAAGTATCGGCAAATACAAGAAAATTGAAACAGTTTCTTGTATTCTATCTGACAACAATGAAATGAAGCTAAAAATCAGCAGCAAGAAAACCACTAACTCATGGAGATTATAACAACTGGCTTACTGAAGAAATCAGAAAGGAAATACATTTTAGAGTTAAATAAAAATGAAGACATAACATACCAAAACTATGAGATATAATGAAAGCAGCTCCAGTGTAAAAGGGGGTTTCTAACTACTGCCAATAGAATTCAGAAAGTCCTAAGGACAAACCTTGAAAATGTGTATTCCACTAAATTGGAACATCTAAAAGAAAAAGATGGGGCTGGAGAGATGACTCAGAGGTTAAGAACACTGGCTGCTCTTCCAGAGGTCCTGAGTTCAATTCCCAGCAATCACATGGTAGCTCACAACCATTTGTAATGAGATCTGGCGCCCTCTTCTGGAACGAAGACATACATGCAGGCAGAACACTGTATACATAATAAAAAGAAATAAATAAATCTAAAAGAAAGAAAGAAAAAGAAATGGATGCCTTTCTAGAAATATGTGACCTATGAAAATTTAACTGAAATAAGCTATTTGAATGGCTCTATAACAAGCAATGAGACCAATGTAGAACTAAAACAAACACTCAGTCAAAAAAGTCCAGGGTCAGCCAGACATGGTGGTGCATGCCTTTAATCCTAGTACTTGAGAGGCAGAGGCAGATGGATCTCTGTGAGTTCAAGGCCTGGTCCACAGAGTGAGTTCCAGGACAGCTAAGGCTACACAGAGAAACCCTGTGAAGAAGAATAAGAAAGAAGAAAGGAGGAGAAGGAGAAGAAGAAGAAATCCCAGCTCAGGTGGATTCACTGCATTCTACTAGATCTTTTTTTTTTTAAGATTTATTTATTTATTATGTATACAGAAGAGGGTGCCCAATCTCATTACAGATGGTTGTGAGCCACCATGTGGGTGCTGGGAATTGAACTCAGGACCTCTGGAAGAGCAATTGGTGCTCTTAACCTCTGAGCCATCTCTCCAGCCCTCTACTAGATCTTGAAAGAAGTAATACCAATGCTTCCAGACTATTCCATACAATGGAAAATGAAAGAATGCTCCAAACTTACATATGAAGCCAGTACTACCCTGATACCAAAACCAGATAAAGACACACACACACAAAAGAAAATTATAGGCCAATTTGTCTTACGAACATAGAAGCAAAAATTCTCAATAAAATACTTGCAAACTGAATTGAATACATCAAAAAAGCATCCATCATTATTAAGTTCACTCCATTCCAGAGATGCAGGGATGATTTAAGGTACATAAATCAATAGATGTAATACAGCATATAAATAGACTCAAGGACAGAAATCATGGATCGTTTCAACAGATGCAGAAAAGGCCTTTGGCAAAATCTCACATCTTTGCATGACAAAACATTGAAGAGACTAGGAATGGAAGGAACATATCTCAGCATAACAAAGGCCATATATAATAAACTTAGAGCCAGCACCAGGCAGAAAGGGAGGAAACTCACAACATTCCTATTAAGGTCAGGAACACGACAAGACTGTCCTCTCTCCACTCCTATGCAACACGGAGATGGAAGGTTTAGCCAGAGCTTGTAATAAGATAAGAGAGGAAATAAAAGGGATACAAATAGGAAAAGAAGTGAAAATATCCTTATTTGCAGGTGACATGATACTATAGAGAGAGACCCTAAAAACTCTATCATAGATTCTTACATCTGATAAACACTTCCAGCAAGACAAGATGATACAAAACACGATACAAAAATCAAGTACCCTTCCTATACACCAATGAAAGACACACTGAGAATCAAGGAAACAATACCATTCAAATTAGTTTCAAAAAACAAAACGAAATATCTTGGAATAAACGTAACCAAGGAAACGAAAGCTCTCCATAATGTAAGTTTTAAAACACCACTGAGGGAGAAACTAGAAGACAGAAAAAAACTCTCCCCATGATCATGGATTGGAAGAATTAACATTGTGAAAATGGCTGCCCTACAAAAAGTAATCTACAGATTCAAGGCAGTTCTCATCAAAATTCCAGTACTATTCCCCACAGAAATAAGACAAAATCTTAAAAGTCATGGGAACACATAAAATTCCCCCATACAGGCACTGGGGAGATGGCAAAGTGGTTGACAACACTGCCTCTCTTCAAGGGGGCCTGTTTTTGATCCCCTGCACCCACATGGCAGCTCATAGCCATCTGCAACTCTAGTCCCAGGGCATCTGGCGCCCTCTTCTGGCCTCTGTGAGCACTGTACATATGTGATACACAGACAAACAGGCAAAACACTCATACACATAAAGTATTTTTTAAAGACCTCAGACAGCCAAAGCAATGCTCTGCAATAAGAATAATGCTAAAAAAATCACAGAAATCACATGATAAACTCAATAGATGCAGAAAAGGCTTTTCACAAAAATCTTCATGATAGAAACATTGAAGAAACTAGGCATAAAAATAACATATCCCAGCATAATATTATAGGGCTATACAACAAACTTATAACGAGCATTATACTAAATGGAGGGAAACTCAAGGCATTTCCATTAGAATCAGGAACAAGACAAGGATGCCCACTTTCTCTGCTTTCATTCTTAGCTAGAGCAGTAAGACAAGAGAAGGAAATAAAGGGGAAATAAATAAAAAATAAGTCAAAGTATCCTTATTTGCAGATGATCCATATGGATCTAGTCACAGTTCCCAGCATTGCTGAGGAGTGTGGCCAGATTGAGAGAAGGTATAGAGTTGGTGAGAGGCTGGAGCAGGCAGATGGCATCCTGGTAATGCCTCCTTCTGGCTGGAACTTCCTAGATATCTTGGGAACTCCCCTAGAAGTGAGTAGCTAAGATGACTTCAGTCAATATCTCTTGCAGGCACTGAAAGAATCCAACTGATAATCCCAAATTCTGCTCTGCCTCCCCCCCACACACTCCTCAACTACCACTGTCATACCTGACCAGGAAGGGGTGGACAGCCTTCTGAAGGCCCTCAAAAGGGAACTGTCTGCAATGGGTGGGAACTAATCCGCAGTCCCACCAGGTATTCCTGACCTGGGCAAGGTATCCACATCACTTCCAGCACTGGCTGGATGTTCTTGACCACTATAAGTTGGCATCAGACTTGGCAGTGGTGGTTGGAGGCCAAGAGAGACACAAAGGCACCTGAGCCACCTCGCAGATAGAGGGGACACTGAGAAGATCCTCAATATCACCCAGAACCCTTGAGGT